ACATTGCATCCCATTGAGAAAAGAGTGAGTCGATTTCTGCTTGATTTTAGAACTAAAAGTAAATTTAAAAGAGTTATTTTTAGAAGTTCTATTTATACATAAGTATTAAATTTCTTTCCAAGGCCTTAAAGACAAAGCAGAACACTGAAACAACGTTGCGACACTACGTGTCCTTCCTCTCCTGCCCAGTGAGTTCCGCACTTTTTTGATTTGTTGAAAAACTTAGCCTGTGTTGATATTTATCAGTATCATAAACTCCCTTGTTGACATACTCTAGTTTACATAGCAACAAGTTGCTTTCTCAAGTACTAAAACAATCAGGATAGGAGATGAGTAAATAGTAGTTTCCAGCAAATTTTCCTGACAGCGGGATGGCAGCGCGAAATTGAATTTCGCATTTAGGAGGGGATCTTTTTATACCAGAAAGACAAAATAGGCGGTTAAAGTAGAGAAAATCCGGATATCCTAAGCAAACGCTCATTGAAAAAAATATGAAGTTATTTATCTTACGAATTATCTCTAATAAATGGATAGAAATTAGTCGAAACGCTTGGTTCCAAGGTTATAACACAACTGTTGCAAGTCATTTATTTGATAAACTCAGAACTAGAAATAAAATTAGTTTATTGGGTAATTTATTTGAGAAGGTAGGTATGTTCAAAAAAATCCTAAGCTGTGATCTTAACAAACCAACTTTTACTGGAAGTTTTATTTTCTAATTATGTAACAAATGCTGTTACCATGCTTTTTAGAAAACTTTCCAAACTTCGATTCCCCGCAAAATTTCGATTTCGTCCCGAACGAACGTCAAGATGGAGTTTTCGCCATGTGTGTTTGTTCTACAAGTTTTCGCTCGACATCCGAATTGGGCCATCCGCCCACAATCCGTTATGACCCTTTTATGGCCTTTGCTTGGATTCATCTTTGGATTTTCTACATCCACACTTGCGTCATTGACATTCATCTATACTGCCTTCTTGACGAAGGTGCTTGGTGCCGTAAACGTTTGGGAAAAGGAGTTACCTTCTCGAAGTAGACAATGCTTTCTTCTGCAATATATGTATTACTAGCAATCCCTACAGTCTTCGGTACAGTTACAGGTGAGCTTTCATGAACCTTCAGGCTAGTTTTTACAAAAGTAATGACAAAGTCAGAAAATAG